ATTTACAGTTCTCCAGATAGAATAGAATAGAGTAGAGTAGTGTGGAGTGGATTGGAGTGGAGTGGAGAGGAATGGAATGGAATAGAATTATTTATTGGCCAAGTGTGACTGGACACACAGGAAATTTGTCTTTGGTGCAGATGCTCTCAATGTATATAAAGAAAAATAAAATAGAATGCATTCATCAAGAATCATAAGAATAGGATGGGATGGGATGGAATAGAANACTCCCATCCGGTCACATGGGCAGCAAGCCACTCCCACAAAGGAGGCCACACCCACAGAGTAGGTTCGAACAATTTTTGAAACCCACCACTGAGCGAGGGGGAGCCATAGCAGAGAGATAAAAGAGTCACATGCAGCTCCAGAGCCGTGGGTTGCTGACCTCTGAGCAATAGCAGATTGTGATGCTTCCAAAATGAATATCTTTATATTGACAGTGAGAGCCATCAACCCATGGAACCAGAAGTTGCCTTTCCGAAGTTGTGGGAACTTCATCACTGCAAGCTTTGAAGAAGAGACTGGACTGCCATCTGTCAGAAATGATGTAGAGTCTCCTACTTGAGCAGGGGGTTGGACCAGATGACGTACAGCGTCCCTCCCATCTCTGTTAATCTGTAATCTTACTGTACATTTTGGGAGAGGGAGACATTTTAGTTTTATCCTTAGCTATATGTTATAGAGTTGATTTTAGCAAGATTTGATCTCAAGCCGAATATTCCTCTGGTTAGCTTGAGCAAGAAGTAGGATTTTTGAGTCCCTAAATGAGAAGGTGGGAAAAACAGATCAGGATAATGTGAAAAAAGAGTTTTAAAGAATCCTTTGTGTCGTAAGAGGGAAGCCCGAGCTGATAACTCCTAAAAAAAGGTTCCTGCAGAGATGCGAGAGAAGAATTTTTTTTTTCTTATTCTCAGAGCCATTTTTCACAAAGCTAGTTCACAAGCGCAAAAACTCAAGTACCAAAGTTTAGCTGAGGTACGGCGGATGGTGTGAAGCCAGTAGCCAAAGAATAGCATACCTTGTAAGATGTAAAGGAAATCTATTTCTCACAAGAGTGTTTTATTCTATCCGGTCAGTGAAGAGGTAAGTGTTGGGAGGGCAATGTTGACTTCATACAGGAATATCAAGGAAGCAATCATTTTTTTCTCTAGTCGAAAAATACACGGTAAGTATCAGCTTTCCACAGTTAAGTTCAGTGTAACAGGAGTGGCTCAAGGATGACCAGCTTAAGGGTAGCTGTAAAATTGTACCCCACAACTAAAATTAATCACTCGATGAATGGCGTCTCGTTGTGATAATGGGTGTAAATAACTTGGCTTTCAGGCAAAGCGTCCGTGAGATTTTCAAGGCACAAAAAGCACAGGGGCCAGCTGTTGCTTGTAACTAAAAGAAGGTAAAGGTTCCCGTCGCACATATGTGCTAGTCGTTCCCGACTCTAGGGGGCAGTGTTCATCTCCGTTTCAAAGCCGAAGAGCCAGCGCTGTCCAAAGACGTCTCTGTGGTCATGTGGCCGGCATGACTAAACGCCGAAGGCGCATGGAACACTGTTCCCACCAAAGGTGGTTCCTATTTTTCTACTTGCATTTTTTTTTACGTGCTTGCAAAGTGCTAGGTTGGCAGAAGCTGGGACAAGTCACGGGAGCTCCCTCCATTACGTGGCGCTGGGGATTCGAACTGCCAAAGGTGGTTCTTATTTTTTCTACTTGCATTTTTTTACCTGCTTTCGAACTGCTAGGTTGGCAGAAGCTGGGAGAAGTCACGGGAGCTCCCTCCATTACGTG